ATGTCTCGGAGAAATACCTCATCCATACAAGTTTGGGCCGCCCTGTACATGTAGTAGAATCGCGATTTTGGTTAATCGGCTAGCAGGCATGATAATGATAATAAGAACGTAAATAAATATACTAAGTGACATATAAATCCGAACACCCAGTTTAAATGGTTTTATTTTAATAAAATTTTGTATAAGTACTTAATGAAGCATAGAAAGTAAATGATAAAAATTTCAAAATGAATGCACTGCTTAAAGCCCTTTGACCTTTAATAATGTGTGGATGCACCAGACAATACTGTTCCATTCCTGATCCCAGAGTGACCGTTGTCTGCACCACTCAAGGCGATTACGTCGGTGTTCTCGAGTTAAAGGGAGGACCCAGTGTGCCCGGTATGAAAACAAGCCAAAACTTCTCATTCGTCGGTAAACACTTCGCATGCCAATAGGTCTTCCGTGTTCTGCAAACCATTCATTTGCAATGGACCTGGTAGTGGAGAAACGGTCTGTTGTTCTACGGCGGCGTCCAGTGCCCCTTGCTCTTTGCGTACGGCCTTCTCGAAGCCATGCCTGACAACACCTAACAACAGTGTCTACACTTCTTTGCACTCTAACTGCAATTGCCCGAAAAGAAAGTCCAGCTTCCCGAAGTCCCACTATCAAACTCACTAAGTTGACGAAATCGTACAGGTCTCCGTACTCTAGGCAGTAAAGGATGTCAAGAACCAAAATCCGCCAACGTTGATTCTTTACTGCGACTGAAATATTCATTTTTAGAGCGTTAGTGAATTAAAAAAAAGCAGTATAAAAACCGGAATGTCCAACTGAAAAGGCTGAAATTTTTTTCACTTGTTATTTACAGTAAGATAAATACATTCACCAACTTTTATTAAAATAAAACTATTTAAACTGGGTGTTCGGATTTATATGTCACTTAGTATATCAAATGACTACATATATTATAGTGTACCGAGCCCACAATACGCTGTAATAGGGTAAGAATTGCTCAGCTTGGATGCTCTGTATCTTGGAAACTACTCGTGCCCATTGACACTTTTGTTATACGTGTTGAGATCTACAACATACTAATTTTTTCAAAGAACGTGACATCACATGAGATAATGTCCAAAAAAAAACAGTTTTCATAAAAATATTATTTATATGCTATTGCCACGTTGTTCCAGCCTTCAGATACTGATAACCTGTATGACCTCTGCTTATGATGTATACAGTACTGGAGTATAAAAGTTGATTACACTATGTGAGAAACAAATATTTTTGTTTAAAATGAAAACTTGAGTTTAAAAAATGATGATTGTGAGATAACATTATATTATACAAAGAAAAAAGCAAAAAAAAAATCATATTGAACTTCAAATGTGCCAAAATTAGTGTCGGTGATTTGATTTAATTTTTTAGAATTCATCGAGCTGTGTGATGTGGAAGAACGTGTAGGGGTGATTTTAAGTAACACTCAAAATATTTTTAAAAATATCTTTTTATTGATGATCGTTGCTTAACAACTGTAAGACTTGAATAAAATATACAGGGTATTAATTAAGTATATACTATAAAGTTAACAGACGATTCTCTGAGTAATTTTAATATCATATAAGCATAGATCCGTAAATTCTTCGCTCTCAAGGTACAGGGTGTTAAAATTTAAAGGAAAAAATATCTTTTCGTAAATATCTTAAATATTCTTCACCTAATTTTGTTGAAATTTGGTGGAGGTATATAACATTAAGGAGCTAAATTAACCCTAACACGATTAAATTTATGAAGTCCAGTGGCGTCCCGAGCGGCATCTGAACGAATATTTGTGACAAAAAAATACGCCACCAACTTTTGTGCAATTTTTATCATGTTCTTTGGTTTGAGCAGATAGAAATACAACTTTCTTGTATCTTGAATTTTTTTCGTATCTTGGTTAGTTTTCGAGAAAAAAGCCCGCTTAATTACATATCCCTGGATCACACAAGGATTATGGGGAAAAGTTTCTTTTGGAATGTTAATGTAATGTACTTCAATTTGGTATTTATTTGTTGTTGTTACATAATTAGTAATAAAAAATTATAAAAAATAATGATTCCCGAAAAAAACGGAGTCAGTGGCGTATATTTTTTTGTCACAAATATTCGTTAACATCCCGCTCGAAACGCCACTGGACTTAATAAACGTAATCAAGTTAGCGCTAAATTAGCTCCTTAATGTTGTAAATCCCACCACCAAGTTACAACAAAATTAGTTTTTTTTTGTTTTTTGTTTTTTTTTATATACCGAAGCAGCCGCGCAGGCAGAAGCCTAAATGCCGGGATACCGCAGCTGCTATGATGATCCCAAAGAAATTTTGTTAATCCGATTTTTGAACTGCCTAAGGTTAGTAGAACTGGGAAAAGCTTAGGATGGGAGGCCAAAGTCAGACGGGTCTGTCTGGCAGACACATCGCGCGGCGGCATCATGGAAGAGCTTTGAGGGGCAAAGCCCGGGGGAGTAGCGGTAGAAGAGAGCTAGACCGCCGACGGCCCGCCGATGCGAAAGGGTTCCGAGACTGTCTGTTAGAGAAGAGTCATCGATCAGTCGGACAGGCCTCCTCTGTACAGCATCAAGCATGGATAATATAGACGGGGCAGCAGCACCGTGTGAGCAATATTCCAGGCTAGGTCTTATCTGGGCCTGTATAGAATAAGGAGAAAAGTACTTATTAGCCATAAACAAATAGCCTACCTTTTTCCCAGCAACTGCCGCTATTGACGAGATGTGTTCGTGCCGGATCAGGTTTTCGGTGATCTTGACTCCGACCAGCCGAAATGAATAGCTCTTTGGCAGAACTCGGCCATCTATCGAAACCGGATGAGCGCTAGGTCGCTTTTTGTTCGTCAAGGTACAGTACTGTGTCTCATCAGAGAGGAAGTCATCGATAGTCTTCTTTTTTCCAGCTCATGCGGCAGAGATCGGCTTGTCACTCGGAATTCCTGCATGTAGAGTGCTGTCATCAGCGAAGCTGTGAATTGGGTTGATCGTGCAGGAAAGGAGGTCGTTGATATGTAAGAGGAACAGTGTCGCAGCCAAGAGCAATCCCTGGGGAACATTCGCGTTGACGGGAAGCTTTTCTGGGAAGCCATAGGGTGGAAGTTTGCTTAAGAGGGCAGCGTGCCACAGCTGATCGAAGGCTTTCGTGACGTCAAGAGCAACGACATGGGCCTCACAATAAGACTGGATTGTTTACTCCACAATTGCGTGACGTTAGCTAGGAGGTCCCCTGTGGATTGCTGGTGCCGGAAACCATACTGCCTGTCGCTAATCAAGCTGTGACGTTCGACGTAGTCCAGAAGCTCGCGATTTATGCACCTCAAACCCCCTTACTTATAACAGAAAGCAGAGCAATAGGTCTGTAGTTGTAAGGGTTGGTCTTAGATCCCTTTTTTGGAATGGGTTGGACATGAGCAAATATCCAATCTTCGGTTTTCTGGGAAAGTGCCAGACTCATAAGATATCTGGAAGAGACGCGAAAGGACTGGAGCAAGCTCCGCTGCACACTTCTTCAGTACAATGGCAGGAATTTTGACATTGCGAACCGCTCTGTTATATTTATTTCTGGACTCGACGTCGGCTTGTCTGTTCTCTGAAGAGGGGTTTTGTAAGAAGGTTCTGTGTGCCTTGATCTTCTGCTGGCGAGCAGTGTCACACGATTTGTTAAACCAGCCGTTGGACTCTGGGTTAGTCACATTCACTGTATGAAGGATGTATTCCTCCATTCGGACGTGGACAATTTCGGTTATCGAAGAACAGGTAGCCGACGCATCCGCATCAGTGAAACAGACATCTCTCCAAGGAAAGGTAGAGAAGAAGTCTCTAAGCCCCTCCCACTCGGCATGTCCGTAATGCCAAAATTTTGCGGCCTGTACGAGTTTCTGCTGTCACAGCGGGTTCTGACCGAAATCTAACCTTCACAACACCGTGCTCTGAGTTACCCCAGGGGGACAGGACAGCGGTGCTGTAAGAGACAGGATGCGTGGTTAGAAAAAGATTCAGCAAGCAAGTGACGAGACGCGGGGGAAAAAAGTAGGGCTCGGCATCAGCTGGGTCAGCCCTTGAGTAAGAGCGAACGCTTCAACTGTTTGAGCCCAGCCAAAGCTCATTATGGGCATTGAAATCAGCGAGGAGAACTACCTCTGAAGCGGGGTGATTGATGTTAAGGAACTTGATCTTGACGGCGAGATATTCAAGTACGTCATCCCAGTTATGGGCCGAGGGAGAGCGATAAAGGCAGCAAATACATTTGGAGAATCTTTTCGAGTTGAGGTGATTTGGTCTGATTTCAGAGAAAAATCTCTGATGCAGGAAAGGCTGCTGCAGACAAAGGCCACAACTCCCCCGTTGTTTCTCAGATTTGAGTGCAGCTCGTAATTTGAGAAGCCAAGATGGTTAGTCGGTACAGAGAGAGAGAAGGAGATTTTTGTTTCCGCCAAGAAAAGCATGGTCGGGACGATTGGATTGCTAGTAGTGATGAACAGCATCAATGTTGCTGTTAATCCCGCAGATGTTCGTGAAACAAATTTCCACCCGGATATTCCGAGAGTGGAGTGAGGCAAAGCACATTAAAGACATTTACGAAAACCATTTTTTTTTATTTGAACACCCTGTATCTTGAGAACGAAGAATTTGCGGACTTATGTTTATTTGAACTTTTTGTCAATTACTCAAATAATCGTCTGTCAAATTTATGATACATATACTTAATTAACACCCTGTATATTAGCAACATAAAGTCATCAAATTAGACCTAGTATAGTTTCTAGTCAAGTTTATCTATATCATGGATAATTGGTTGTGTGAATAACACTATTTTCGATATAAAGATGTCAAATGTGAAACTACACTTGATTGACTTCGATTTAATTGATGATTTTGAGATACCCTGTATACATTCAATTTAAGCGATTATGGTTTATGGGAAATGTTCTTTTGTATCGATGAGTGTTGCAACTGCGAACAAAAAATAAAACAAGTATTGGTATATTATTTTTTAATAAATACTTTTCAATTGAAGCATTTTTGATATAAACAACAACTGGCATATAAAAATTACTCGGAACTGTCACAAACAGTATACTGACGACTATAGTCATGCTTAAAGCTACTTTGATGACAGAACATTATTTTGGAACACGGAAAATATAAGAAACAAAAACATAATATCTAATTCGATATTTTCAGCCAGAGTTCTGTTCAAAAATTATGTTTAAACAAGGAAGATCTTGGTTGTTCAGCTTCTACATCTACATTCATGGTGCTCCTATATTTATATTCTGCATTTTTAACAATCTTCAGCCATCTTCCGGTATCGGTAGTTTTCTCCTATTGCCCCTAAAACCTGCTGGGATATTTTGATAGAAAAAAAATGCAAAACATTTATGAGATAAGAAGTGCCTCTGTCGAAAGATTGTACTTTTCACCATTTCTTTACTAATTGTTTATTCTCATGCGTTTCAAGGACTTACCAAAAGAGGCAAATAGGTGGAGCCAATATGCTTCTATCTTCAAGAAAAGCCAGCTCTCCAGCCAGACTGTCATTTCTACTCCAAAAGCTGCTATTTTCCTATACTATACGGTAAAAATAAAAAATACTAGGAAATATTTTCAATTGCTAATCAAAAAATTTATAAAAAAATAAATGAGAATGTCATTTCAAAACACTAAGACCTAAAGCTGACGATCCATTGTCCAATAACTAAACTATAAAAATGTTAATCGGACCTGAAAAATCAACAAAGGAAAAATTGTTTGATGCCTAATATGTTTGTACTTCTCTATCAACATGGTTTGGATTTGCTTACTCGAATTGTTTTGAAGATGAATTCATCATTTTGACCTTTGGCCATATAAAATGATGAATTTTACAACATCACATATACATTTTATGTACATACACATTACACAATGGAAAAAATGGAACAGCAAATACGAAATGCTTCTGCGATTCCAGATCAATTAAACATCAATTTCGAACACAGTGAATGTCATAACGGTATAATCACATTTGGAAGAAACAAACATATTAAGTATTCAAACGTCTGTCAGGTTCTGTGAACTTTGAACTTAATGCATTTTTATTCGAATGTTAACCTAACTAATTCTTGTTGCTTGAATTGCTTCATAATGCGAATGTTTTATAGAAGTGCCCCTGTTTAAAGAAACATATCACTCACCATGATTTGACAATTTCTCATCAAAAGAGACAAAAATGGACCTTCAGAATCGGTTCATACTCAAACTTTGTTTAAGAAATTCACAAATTATAAAAAGCTCAAAACCTTGAAAAGGGTACAAAAATGAAGTTGCGAGATTCTTAAAAGTCGTAACCTTAAAAAAAGATTTGATTACCACTAAAATAATCAGGAAATAAAAAACATGAAATGAAAATTAGCGAATTTTTCTTCAGTGCGGTGGTTACTGAAAAGAAAAACAAGTAAATCAAAATTGAATACCTATTGACGGTACCTTGAAACGGAAAAATTATAGCCTGCATAGTTTTCCCGTAGAAATCTTCGGAAAATGTCTGGGAATCCATATCCTGATCTGAAGGCAACAAGTGTCCATAAGCAATGACAGGTTTTGGCAGTTCACCTCTGGAGATAGTGGGCTTCTCTTTCAGCCTAAGCTTCCTCAGGATCTGATTCTTGATGTACTCTATCCTTATGGTGGTGAACTCATCCATGGGTACCGCGTTCTTCTGGGAATTTGCCCCATTTGAGTCGGCCTCTTCATTGACCTTAGATGACGAGAATAGTGCGTCAAATACTGACGGTACACCAATAGCAACAGCGTTGTTGATAAACCCACTCAACAATGCGACGTATATCAACCTCGAATAAAACATATTTTGCACTTTTAAAGTATTTTACGTGGGAATTTTAGTTAAAAATGAGTGGTTGTAGATAGATCGTGGCAAGTGCAGGCTTAAAAACATGTTCTTTACTAGCCCCACTCTTTTTCTCAACATTTCTAAACCGAATGATTGGTGTGGACCTTGATCCGCGGCTATGTTGGAATTCAAAATTAGATAGGAAGGTACATTGTTCATTTTACTATTCCCTGGCATGGCATTTTGATATGATATGGCAGAGCACGTGGTCAACGATGGTATACCCAGCTACAGGGTCGGATTCGGCCCAGTCTCCAAGGAGGCAGAAAGTTAACAAAGCAATCGAAGGCCACATTCAGCACCTTAAAAAGGTACATTGGATTTTATCTTCAAGCAATGATACATTCAAAACAGATACAGGTACCAGCAGGGTTATTACGTAAAAAACCTATGTAATTGCTGGGAATCATTTTCAGCCTCCTAAATGGCCGCAAGGGAACGTATTTTTAGTTTAAAAAATTCGAACGCCATTATTTTGCAAAAATGCATAATTAACATACTGATTTAATAACTGTATTATTAGTCTAATCATATTAGCAAATTTCCTTGAAATAATCGTAAAGTCTGGTTTTCTTGATGCAAGTTAGTCAAGGGTGTGTTTAAAACATGGACGCATAAAATGGGTACACCAATGTTTGTGGAAAAACTTTTTATTCGACAGCAAACAAAAAGAAAACGTGTTTTTTGGGATTCAATCGAAAGTGTTGGAAGGAACCAAAATACTATTTTAATAAGATTTTTAGCTATTTATGAGACCTACAGAATGGGACCACACGTGAAACGATCCGACTGATAGTAAAAAAGTTATGGCCGAAAACCGAGGCAAAATGCAGGTTTTTGCACTTGCTGCTAATGCCACGATAATTTCACACAGCTACTTGAAATTCTTCAAATCCGTAGGCTTCTTAGTAACCACAACAAAATTGGACTATATTGATCAAGTGTTTTTTTGAGAATTTCTAATTGTTTATCCCAAAACACCTGTTCTCCGGCCATCACTACTAGTCTACTGAGCAATATACAAGGTTCGTTCAAAGGGCGTTTTATAGCAAAATACACGAGTTTACCTTGTAGACATAAATCACAAACCATTCCGAAAGATAATTGTTATTTTTATGCGAAAAACGAAAGGTTACGTTTTTTTCTTCTAAGCAAATTCAAACATTTCGTATTTGTGAATAATTGAACAGATTTCGAAAATATAACATTATTAATGTTATTATAGAACACATTTTAAAACAAAGCGGATGCGTCCATCACCTTTTGTTGCAAAGAAAACAATTTTTTTTCAAGATTTCTCCATACTTTGTTTATATATATTTAGAGCTGAAACTTTTACACGGTCACAGATGAGCCCTAAAGTTTATAAAAAGAAAAATATTTCATTCTGAAATGCGCCGAACTCTTCATAAAGTTAGTTCGCAAACTGACGACACAGTAATTATGTTTCAAACTGTCTTAGACTAGTTAGTAAGTAGCATGTGCTAAATGGCTGCATTCTTGATGACTGTATGACTTTGTCAAACAAGTAGGTCAAATAGGAAAATAAAATCAAGAAAACGAAAAAACAGTAAACAAATATCAACCAATTGTAGCGAAGTGACCGTCTTAAAATTAGGGAAAATGCTCGGTATTAGTCCCTAATTGATTATTTAAAGTTTCAGCGTTAAATCTTGCATGGTTTTCAAGGGTACTCTATTTGTTTATGACATATTTGATATGTCTCCAACGTTCGCTTGACATTTGTCATTGTCAAGTGTAGTGGTATAAAGATCTAGTAAACCAAGAGTCGTCGTAGCGTAATAGGAAAGAGCGGCGATTGCTGAACCGCAGGACGGAAGGTCAAATCCAAAAAGCTCCTTTTTGCTATTAATTTTTTTTTAAATTTGGAGAAATGAATGCTTTTTCACATTATGGGTACTTACTTTTATAGGGACTGTAAGCTTGCAAACAGGAAACCAGCGGTATACGTATGATTGCTTATAATTTTTTTTTTATATTACTTTGATCAATTTTCAGAAACACTAAGTCGGATCATAGCAGATAATTTTTGAAAACATATATCTAAGATGCGTAAATTATTAACCAACAATAATGAAAGACATCATAAATTTTGTTTGTGTGATAATAAGCTAGTTTAATGCACTACTAAGTTAATTACCTCAAGTAAGTAGTTAAACACAATGTACAGATAACAATACCAAAAAATAAGCAGCATTATTATTGCTATGGTTAATAAATACTACATGTCAATGAATCTTTCATATAGTTTTATTCTATGCACAACAACACAAATTTTTTGATGCAAAAAAGAATTACATCACGCTCTAAGATATAATTGAAATTGCTTAATTTCCGATTTTTTGTATATTTACCTTTCACGTTGTGTTAGGGCTTCCTCGTTCCCATCACTCCCAAAAAGAGAGATTACCTCTGCGTTATGCTGCCATAATACAAAAATACAAACTATGCAAAAAATGTCTACGCTGTTGATCAAAATGAGCATCTACGGTTAACAGTAACTTGATAAATACAAAAACTGTGGGTTAGCTCACTTAATTTTATAAGCATCCTCCGCGGCTCCAGGAGGTACCTAATTTGACCGCCTTCGAAAAGTTGAGCGTAACACAAACAACATTTCGGATGTCTTTCATTATTGTTGGTTAATAATTTACACATCTAAGATATGAGTTTTCAAAAATTATCTGCTATGATCCGACATAGTGTTTCTGGAATTTCATGAAAGTAATATAAAAAAATTATATACAATCATACGTATACCGCTGGTTTCCTGTTTGTAAGCTTACATTTTCTATGGCACACAAAAAACTGTTTGACCGCAATAAAAGTGAAAAACCATTTATTTCTTCAAATTAAAAAAAAATATTCGCAAAAAAAGGAGCTTTGTGGATTTGAAGCTCCGTCCTGCGGTTCAGCAATCGCCGCTTTTTCCCATTACGCTACGACGCCTCTTGGTTTACTGGATCTTTATACCACTACAATTGGTTGATATTTATCTACTGTTTTTCGTTTTTTCGAGTTTATTTTTTTTTTTTAGTTTTAATCGTACGAGATTTCGAAAACAGACGTATACGATATTAATACTTTTAGAAAAAAGGTCCAGGGAATTATATTTCTTCGTAAAGAAACTGGGTTACGTGACCTGCTCATTTAACTAAGTCATGTAGTCATCAATAATGCAGCCATACTCGTACTAGCTAGTCTGAGACAGTTTGAAACATAATTATTGTGTCTTCAGTTTGCGTACTAACTTTATAAACAGTTCAGCGGATTTCAGTATGAAATATTTTTTATAAACTTTAGTGCTCATCTGTGACCGTGTACAAATTTCAGCTCTAAATAGGTATACACAAGAGTATGAAGATATCTTGAAAAAAAGAATTGTTTTCTTCGCAACAAAAGGTGATGGACACATCCGCTTTGTTTTAAAATGTGTATAATAACAGATGTTTTTCGAATATCGTAGCGAATTCAATTACACACAAATACGAAATGTTTGAATTTGTTTAGAAGAATAAAACGCAACCTTTCGTTTTTCGCATAAAAACAACTATCTTTCGGAATGGTTTGTGATTTATGTCGGCAAGGTAAACTCGTGTATTTTGCTATAAAATGGCCCATTGAAAGAACTCTGTATATTGCTCAATAAACTAGTAGTGATGGCTGGAAGAACAGGTGTTTTGGAATAAACAATTAGAAATTCTCAAAGACCCATCGACTCCAATTTTGTTGTGGTTACTTAGAAGTATGAAACATACGGATTTGAAGAATTTCAAGTAGCTGCATGAAATTATCGCCGCATTAGCAGCAAGTGCCAGAACCTGCATTTTGTCTCGGTTTTTGGTCATAACTTTTTTACTATTAGTCGGATCTTTTTACGTGTGGTCTCTTTCTATAAGCCTCATATATACCTAAAAATCTTATTTGAAGAGTTTTCTGGTTTCACACTTTCGATTGAATCCCAAAAAACACGTTTTGTTGTCGAATAAAAAGTTTTCCTACAAAAATTGGCGTGCCCATTTTATGCTTCCATGTTTTAAATACCCTATTAATAATCCAAACTTTACAATTATTTCGTAAGCCAGGGTATTTTCGTCTAACATGATTGATTGTTCAATTTTCTAACTTTTTTCTCGATTTTATTTTCCATATTTGGTTTCGGTTAGGGTCGGAGGCGGTTTGAATGTCATTTCAGAAAAAGTGATATAACTTCTGTTTGGGTGCGCGAATTTCCATGAACTTGGTTTCATTGGAAAGAGCTTGCGCCTCCGCTCCTACTCTTGCCGAAATAGTTCACTTTGTGGCCACTAGATAACGCTTTATGGATGTGTCACTGTTTTTTTTTAATTCTTCGAATATTTCAAATAAAACGTTATACTTTTTGAATATTGCAAAAAAAGAAAATAAAAAATCCTATAATGGCAAAGAACGCAGATCGAAATCTTGATTCGTTACGAAGATAGAATAAAAAATATGCTTAAATTACAATTTTCAAATACTACTGGATAAAAAGAAAAATTCGGTTAAATATTTATTTCAGAAAGCCAGAAAATGTATAAAACATTATCGGTGAGTCACAACTACCAAAATACATTGGTTTGTACACATATAACAGATAAATTGTAATATAGTATTAAAAATTATATGTTCAAGCCGTCATCATATTATTTTACAATCTGTATCATAGCTAAACATGTATGAAAATTATAGGTTCTTGTAAAAAGCATGTAAAATTAGTTGTTAAGTTGTTTTTTTAAGAAGCTTAATACGAATGTGCTCCTATATTTATAGAAAATCTGTGTATCTGTGTTGTGTGTCCGCGCTGTATGAAAATATACAGATGGCGCTGCGTGGTCCAAAAGCCGTTGATCCGCTGCTGATCTTACGCCGGCCCTGATTTATTCTTGATGACACTATCTACCAATTTCGTGTTGTTTGGTTTGTGGTTTGTAACGCTGTTTGCATGTATCATTTCACATGTCAGTATGAGAATTTTCGATTTTCGTGATTATTTGCATCAAAATACAAAATATGGCTCATCGTTTGTACAAATAAATATCACTGAATGTCTTTAGTAGAACAAAAATATAATATGTCATCAAGTATCAAGTAGTTTGGAAAAATGCTTGACCTGAAGTCAAGTAGAACAATAAAAAAATCAAGTCAAGTCAAGCATTAACGTTTCACTGCCTCACATCTAGGCGCTGATTTGTATTTTCTACTTCACATCGTAAAATAAGTTTATATAAAATTCAAATCGCTGGAAATAAAAATTAATTTGAAATGTGATAACTTTTTTACGTTTCATAAATATCCTGTATGTACCATATTTTCTCACCTGTAAGTTTTAATATACTTCACCAACCAAGGATTTTCTTTCCTTATCGCTCGCTCTCTTTTCTGAAATTCAGCAAGTTTGCATATGTAATTTATTTTATATTTATATATTAATGAATAAGAAAAAGCGGATGCGCTACAAATTTTTAGCACAACTTACAGCTTAGACCTCGAATAATACCATCTGTGAAGCAGATGGTCCATCACATCAGAGCCATCACGACGTTTAGGCAACACGTACAGCCACGGAACGAGTACACAACAAGTGTACAATAGCTTGTGCTATCTTGTAGAAAAACTTAGATAAAAAACACAAAAAAACTATATGATGTCAAGAAAACCGACATAATGTCATTTTTCAAGATACGTAATACTCCTGCTGGAGTTCGCTATGTGGGAGGGATCCGGCTTAGAGCACCTTCCTCTATTAGTAATTTAAAGGAAGATTATTCTACTTTAAAATTGCGAACACAACGAACTAACAAACATAACTGAAAACTCCAATAGACACTTTTCAAGCAAAATCAATATGACTTTGAGAAAACGACTCTATTCAATAAATGTTTCAACAAACCGCCCCTGTGTGAAGGTATCAAATTCCACATAAAGTTTTTGTTTGTTATCAACTGTTGCACAAGCAAATAAAATGTAAAAACCAATCTTGTTTACGAAAATGTTTATCATGTACATACATTCAGATACAAACTACTGGCACGATAAATGCCATCAAGTAGATTTACTGAGTATTTGAACTGATATTATTAGTTTTCTCTCATTTTTAAGGTAGTATTGCTTAATCGCTAGAGAATTCCTCAAATATTCTAGTGATGAAGTAGAGGAATGTTGATGTCTGTGTGTAGACAGCGGCTTCGATTTGCTACTGAGGTTCTGACTGATACTATCGCTACAGAAGCATCTATACCGGGCAAATTCGTCCGTCCACCACTGAGATCTTGAAAAAGAGATACGATGTCGGTTAAATGAGGAAAAAGTTGCGCATTTAGATAACAAAGAAAGAGGCACTCAAAACATGTATCGATTCACGTATTTCCAGAGATAGACGAAAGAAAATATCGAATTTCTTCCTGACTTTATCTTATTTGGAAATTTAAAATAAACTGCACCTTAACATTGACACTTTTTGTCCTCTATAAGATGATATGATTACAATATCAACATGATATTTCGTCCCTTGTCCTCAATCATAAGCTTTATTTTTTCCTTTAAATTTCGGATTTTTGCATAGGTGAATAGAATTCTTAATTCTGATTCCGAAAATGTCTAATATGTATTACACTGACATTGCCTAATCTTTGTTAATTGAAAAAAAATAATACTCTCATAGTTGGTCTTGAAAATGACAGCTTATTACATGTTGGCCAGTTAAAGATTGCTTTGTTTTTGAAAGCACGCCTAAAGGACATTCAGAATATTTGGCTATGGAATTTATGCTGGTTTGTCAGTCCATGCCTGCTTTACATCAATGCGTCATAAGTACTGAGTCAATCCACTTGACAAAATATTCAAAGAACCATCATAGAGGTAAGTAAGTAACACAAGTTAAACGTTAGGCGAAATGGGTGGTACATTTAAGGATCATATAATTCAGAAAAAGTATATGTGTAGATATAAAAACAGTCAAGTTATCATTTACAAAAACATTGCAAAATGCTAAAGTGGCAAGTGGCACGTACTCCTAATATTCAAGTATTACAAAAATATATAAGTATGCTTATGTAGTGGTCTGTCAGTGACGACACCACCGTAAATGCAGCATCGCGCCATGCACGCAACGCCGACGATTGCATTTCGAATTACGAGCATATTATACATTAGACTTTTATCATTTATCACCTCGCTTTGAAAGAAAGATACACGAAAGAATCTTCCCGCTGCAATAAAATGTTACGTACTTTATTCATAGAAGCAGGGTTCTGGTATTTTCAAGCACTTTAACGGATAAATAACATTTTTCACAGTATTTTAAGAAATTCGCTATTTCTAAAGGTATAAAAATGTCCATAAAATATCATTGTTTTCACCATTTATGTAGGTTGAAAATATCGAACTATAATTAAGTGTGTAATATGTTAATCAAAAGAAAAAATATATTTTCGTAAATATCTTAAATATCCTTTACCTAATTTTGTTGTAATTTCGTGATGGTATTTATAACATTGAGGAGCTAATTTAGCCCTAATTTGATTAAATTTATTAAGACCAGTGGCGTCTTGAGCGGGATCTGAACGAATATGTGTGACCAAAAAATGTACGCCACTGACTTTTGAGCACTTTACAATCCAGATCATTTATAAATTGAAACATATTTAATTAGAATTTGAATATATGGGGAAATCAAAAATTAAATATTACAGACAGGAATCTAATTGAATTTTGAATGTTTTCTGACTTCTGAAGAAATCCAACTTATTAGAATTGATAGAACTGATTTGCTAACCTTGAAGATCTAGACAGGAAGGAATTACTAGCATAATTAGTACGAAATGATCTCACCTGTAATGGTTGATTCAGTCTTGTTTGGTGAGAAGGCACATGTAGATTAGTATTTTTCAAAAGTTCTGGAGCAAAACTAAGAGAGTGCAAGATATTATAAAATAGTGACAGGTCCCTCTGATTCCGTCTTACCTGACGGGTCGAGATATTGAGAGAGCTTTCAATGACGGAATAGATAATATCTTCAACCATAATGTTTTTTTTGAATGAAATGAATCTTAAGAATCTATGTTGCACTCTCTCAATTGTCTGAATATGAACATTATAGTTGGGTGACCAAACAAGAACAATACTCCAGATGGGGCTTCACCAAAGAGCAAAACAACGTTTTAAATAACTGAATATTATGAAAATCCTTAGCACATCGTTTTATAAATGCCAACAGTTGAAGAGATTTAGAAACAATCATATTTATATGGGTAATAAAGGATAATTTTCGGTTAAGAATTACCCCTAAATCCCTAACTTGGGATACACTCTTTCATGGTATAGGTATGACCAATGGGGTCCCTGTTACGGCTGAAGCCCATTAAATGACGTTTTTCCACATTATGTTCCATTCTATTCATTTGACACCAGAGACTTAATGAATTCAAATCATTTTGGATATTTAACAATCATTATTATATTTGATTTTTAAGAATAATTTCAAATCATCTGCAAACATTAGAAAACTATCAGACTTAAAACAGTATATAATATCATTCACGTATATATTGAAAAGAAGAGGACCCAGATGGGAACCTTGAAGTACTCCAGATGGCACATTAATCTCATTTGATTGAAAGCTTTGTATACGCACTACTTGTTTTCGGTCAGTGAGGTAAGACTTCAGCCATGATAAAAGATCCCCGCAAATTTCTAGACAATGTAACTTATTAATCAAGATATCATGGTTGACCTTATCGAATGCTTTAGAAAAATCTGTATAAACTACGTGAACAGAATAACCTTCCTTCAAGGATTCCAAAACATAGTTTGTGAATGTTAAAAGATTTAACTCTGTGGAGCGTTTTGAAAGAAATCCAACCTGTTGCTTATAAAACTGCTTTGCAAATTTGCGGATAAAAATTCACACACTAGGCTCTCAAATACCATTCCAATGCAACTCAGTTTGCTGATAGGTCGATAATTTTTGACTTGTAAAGGATCTCCAGATTTCAGTATTGGAGTAATGGAGCTTGTTTCCAACATTTCGGAAAAGTTCCACTTTTCAACGAAAGATTAAAAATATAAAATAGAGGTCTAGAAATCAGAAAGCTACAATGTTTAATCAACAACGGAGGTACACCATCAGATCCAGGTCATTTATTAGCATCTAATTTGGACAGTTTTTCATAGATGGCTGAGATTGGAATTTCATAGTTAAACAAATTGATGACCCCATAAGAAAGATTACTATTCTGAACAGTACTATTCTCTACACTGTAAGTTTTAGAGAAGTAATCTACAAACAAATTTGTAATTTGTAAACCAGAAGAACTACTGACATTATTATAATGTACTTCTGAAGGTATGTAATGATAATCCTTACGGCTATTAACAAATTTCCAAAATTTTTTTACGTTTTGTCTAAGAGAAGATTCAGTTGTATTGACATAATCCACATAACACTGTTTTTTAGATTTTTACACTGAGCTCTGAGAATAGAAAATTCATGATAATCATTTAGCAAGTGAGATTTGATGTACTTCTTGTGTAGTTTCGTTTTTTCAATTATCATTTGTTTAAGTTCTGGAGAAAACCAAATGGGAAATTTCTTTGCAGAGTACTTCTTCAAAGGAACAAAAATATCAATTGTTAAATATCATATCATAAAACATATTAAGCATATCACCAAGTGATTTATTCATAAGCAGTATGTCCCAATTAATTAAATTAAAACTGGAAAGAAATGCTATCACTTCCTGGACATTTGTGGATTTAAAATCTCTGTAAAAACCACTACTAGTAAGCCCAGAGTTATTTAGGCAAGTTTCACAATTTAACTCAAAATACAGTGGTGGATGATGAGTGTCTACTGGTAAAAGTGCTTCCTCAGCTGCATGTACCGTAGTTGTTTCGTCTTGCATAATAATCAGATCCAGTAAGTTGTTATTTTCATTTCTGATAAAATTCACTTGGTAAAGGTTATGATATGAACACAACCAAGAAACCTGTATTGATTCTGCTTCAGATGATGAAACTCCTGTCATAGGAACAGCAATAGAGGCCATATTTTCCTTAGACCAATGACAATGTGGAAGATTAAAATCACCAAGAATACATAGCCTATACCTAGTTAGGATAAAACTCAGTTACATTCTCTAAATTCTCCGAAAATTCAACATATTTGTCTGCAGAACTACCAGTAGGAAAATATGCTGTAGCAAGGATAATTTTAGTCTGATCAATATGAATTTTTATGAAAAATTGTTCAATGTTTTTAGTGGATGGTACAATACCACTAATTAAAGCTTTCCGGACAGCTATAACCACTCCTCCTCCTCGAGAAAAGGTACTTGACTGTGAAGTTCTGTCTTGCCTGTAAATATTGTAGTC